CACACAGAGGGTTAGGGCTTCAACATATGAATTTGGAGGAGACAGAGACATTCAGTCCATGAAAACTATTCATGAAAAAAGGGGTGCAGTGGCTAGAAAAGGGGCAGACAAAACTACAACTGTCTCTCCACTTCCCCCAATACACAGTACACACACACACACACACACACACACACATGCATACACAACCCTGCTTTTGCCCCTTCCCCACAAGGCCACTCCCCACTCCATGATTATTTACCTCCCTCCTGTCCTACTCTCTGGAGCTGCCCCTTCCCCTAAGTTGTCCTGTGGCTCACTGAATGCTGCATGCAGGTAGGGGCATGTAAATGTAGCCCGGAACTGGGGGCCTCCTGGACCATGTGTGTCCTGAGCCCCACCGTGGGACTGGCAGGAAGTGGGTCTCACCCATGTCTATTCTCCTCAGGCAGAGCCTAGCCCTGGGACATGAGCTCAGTGGGTGCTGCAGCTTTGTTGGATTCACCTAGGGCACGTTTTCCCCACATCCACTTATAAGGTTCCCAGGGCCTTGACACCTCTGTCCTTGGAAGAAAAGAATGAGATTATCCAGCTCACATGAACCTGCTGGTGGCTTCCCACAATAGAAGGACATAATTTTTTAGTTCAAAAGAGTCTACCAATTGACCAGCATAGTGAATGAAGAAAGACCTACAACAAGGCACATCACTGGGAAATTCCAGAAAACCAAGGATAGAGAGAAAATCCTGAAATCTTATAGAGAGAAAAGAGGTCATATATAAAGAGCCAGGACTCCACATGACACCGACTTCTTCCCAACAACACTAGGAACTAGAAAATAATAGAGCAACATTTCCCAATGTGAGGAGAAGTTACATTTAAATTAGAGCATTATTTCCAGCCAAACTATTAATCAGGAGTTGGAGTAGAACAATGACATTTTAAAATATGTGGGGTCAGAAAGCTTGGCTTCCATTCACTCTTTCTCAGGAAGCCACTGGAAGATGTGCTGCAACAGATCTGGGGCCAAGGAACAGGAGATGCACACAGAAGAGGCAGCTGGAAATTCACACAATGGTGCAGAGACATGCCAGGATGCCAGACATGCCAGGATGCCAGCTGTGCCACAGGTTGACAGCCAGGTCCAGTTTGGAGCAGAAGGACGGAGGGCAAGGGAGAGAGAGAAGTATCCAGGAAAATAATGGGGCTGATAGAGTATCCAATGTATCTTAGTTTTTGGATAATTATCACTAGGCATTTGATAGAATGGTTGAAGCATCTGAAAAAATTGGTAGGTAATTGTGAAAAATAAATAAGTAAGCAAATGAGGGAAAAAAGTCTAAAGCAATTGTTAACTCTGGGGGAAATAAGGAAAGAAATGAAACAATTTCAGTGCAGAACTTGGGTTAGGGAACAATATTTAGATAGCTACAAGAATGTAAATGCTTTTGATTTCATAAGATTGTGATCCAGTCAAATTGGTGAAATGGAGGGAAGGAAATTGAGACCTCATAAGGAAGGTAAGCCCTATACTGTGCTATGCCAGGAATTGACAGATACTGAAGAAAACAGATCAAGAAATAGCAACATAAACATTCTTTAGAAATACGATGATAGTCTAGACATTGTGGCTCACACCTGTAATCCCAGCACTTTGGGAGGCCAAGGTGGGTGGATCACCTGAGGTCGGGAGTTCAAGATGAGCCTGACCAACATGGAGAAAACCCATCTCTATTAAAAATATAAAATTAGCCAGGCGTGGTGGTGCATGCCTGTAATCCCAGCTACTGGGGAGGCTGAGGCAGGAGAATCACTTGAACCCCGGAGGTGGACGTTGTGGTGAGCAGAGATCATGCCATTGCACTCCAGCCTGGGCAGCAGAAGCGAATCAAAAAAAAAAAAAAAAAAAAAAAAAAAAAAGATAAATACCAGAGGAAGTAGCAAAATTGGTTTAAAGTGATGGCGTCTGGGAATTAGGACTCAAAGGCAAGAAAGGAAAGGGAAGAGTAAATGCTTTTTGATAATAAGCCTTTTATTATCATTTTGTTCTTTTTTTCTTCTTTTCTTGTTTTACTGAGGATTTCTTGATCCAGATACCATTTTGTTCTTAACTCCGTGTATCTAGTACTTTGATCAGAATTAAATATAATGTTATAAGTTCTGGAGACCTGTTGTACAGCATGATGACTATAGTTAATGTATGCTTGAAAATTGCTAAGAAAGTAGATTTTTTTGCTGCTATTATTATTATTATTATTATTAGAGACGGAGTCTCACTCTGTCACCCAGGCTATAGTGCAGTAGTACAACTTTGGCTCACTGCAACCTCTGCCTCCAGGGTTCAAGCAGTTCTCTGCCTCAGTCTCCCAAGTAGCTGGGATTACAGGCACCTACCAGAGGGCCTGACTAATTTTTGTATTTTTAGTAGAGACGGGGTTTCACCATGTTGACCAGGCTGGTCCTGAACTCCTGACATCATGATCCACCTGCCTCAGCCTGCCAAAGTGCTGGGATTATAGGCGTGAGCCACCGCGCCCAGCTATTTTTATTTTATTTTATTTATTTATTTATTTATTTATTTATTTATTTATTTATTTATTTTATTTTTTGAGATGGAGTCTCACTCTGTCACCCAGGCTAGAGTGCAGTGGCATGATCTCAGCTCACTGCAACATCTGCCTCCCGGGTTCAAGTGATTCTCCTGCCTCAGCCTCCTGAGTAGCTGGGACTACAGACCTGTGCCACCATGCTTGGCTAATTTTTTGTATTTTTAGTAGAGATGGGGTTTCACCGTGTTAGCCGGGATGGTCTCCATCTCCTGACCTGGTGATCCACCCACGTCAGCCTCCCAAAGTGCTGGGATTACAGGAATGAGCCACTGTGCCTGGCTTGCTTTTATTATTTTTAATCAACACATAATTGTATATATTTACAGGGCACAGTATAATATTTTTATACATGTATGCAATGTGTAATGATCAAATCATAATTAGCATCTCTACCACCTCAAACGTTTATCATTTCTTTGTTCTGGTAGCATTCAAAATTCACTCTTCTAGCTATTTAAAACTATATAATAAATTGTCATTAATTATAGTCACTCTACAGTGCTAAAGACACTAGAACTATTCCTCCTATCTAGCTGTACTCTTTGTTTTTGTTTTTGTTTTTCCTCCAGACAGGGTCTCACTCTGTCTCCAAGGCTGGAAAGCAGTGATGCAATCACAACTCACTGGAGCCTTAACCTCCCAGGCCCAAGCGATTCTTCCACCTCAGCTGCCCAAGTAGCTGGGACCACAGGCGTGCACCACCATGCCTGGCTAATTTTTAAATTTTTTGTAGAGATTGGATCTCCTTATGTTGCCCAGCCTGGTCTCAAACTCCTGGGCTCAAGTGAGCCTCCCAAAGTGCTAGGATTACAGACATGAGCCACTGCACTCAGCCATATACTCTTGTATCTGTTAACCTGTTAGCCAACCCTTGGTTACCCCCTCCCCCTTACCCTTCCTTACCTCTAGTAAACACTATTCTAAGCAAAGAGATCTTAAATGTTCTTACCACAAAAATAATAATAAGAGTATGTGAGTGGATTAAAATGTTAATTAACTTGATTTAATCATTTCACAATGTACGCATATATCAAAACATCACATTGAACACTGTAAATGTACACAATTTTTATTTGTCAGTTATACTTTAATAAAGGTGGGGGAGGAATTGAATATAATGTTAAAACAAAAACAATTGCAAAACCTAAAGAAAATTAATAATCTAGTTCAGACCAGCCCTTTTACAGATAAGGTCACTGAAGTCCAGAGAGGTGAACTGACTTGTCTGATCTTACACAGCAAGTCACCCGCAGAACATGACCTGAAATCCAAAGCCAAGTATTTTCTAATACCTTCAGGTCCTTCAGTCCAGCCCTCCTGGGGCTCTGCTTGGGGAATTGGTATTGGTGACAAAGGGAATAGAGAGGAACATGCATAGCGTTCTCCATTTAGATTAACATATTCACACTGTGCCAGGGCGTCGGCAAGAAACAATGCAATCTCCAAGAGTGTTCCCCTCGACCATTTTCCCCCTCCCCATCCTCTCTCATAACTAACTTCAGCTAAAAGGTCTGAGAAGAAAAGGGAATCTCAGATGACTCTCACTAGGGTGTAAATGACTCCCACCATGATTTTTATTTTATTTAGACATAACTCTAAAACAGTTTGATGGATAGGATGCCAGTCAGTAGAATGAAGACAGATAGGGAAGTTGCCTAGGGTCATGAAGAATGTGGAGGCACTGAGGTCCTGAGCAATTTTATAAAGAACACCTTAGGAAATGTCCAGCACCATGGTTTCTTATCTTCACTCAGGACCCACAAGGCCCCACTTTCTGACAGATTTTGTTTATCAGACAAATTGCGCTCAGTCATGCTTCATTCATTTTCCTTGGAGAGCTCCCAGATTACATAGAATTCAGATAATCTCCCCACTCCCTGTCACCCCTACGAAGACACTCCATGTTTCTGTTGCAATACAGTCTTGTATGGATCAGTATTAGATTTTCATGGTGCTCTTTGTATTTTGCAACTATTGCTCAAGCTGGAGACCCAAAAAGAACACTAGCTTTAGAGTCAAAGACCCCTGGGTTCCAGCCTCAGCTGAGAGACTGTGAGCATGTCACTAGCCCACTCTGATCCTGTATCCCAGTTGTATAACCACCTATTTCCCATCAATTGCAAGGCTGGAGAGAAAAGTGCCCACTCTGTGGCCAGTACAGAGTAGGAGCTTAGTATTCTTAAGTCCTCTTGCTTCCCCACTATCCTAATGTGTTAGGGGAAAGACAGAGATGTGGGGAATAGCACTGGGAGGCTGCAGCTGTATGCTTCATAATAGTACCAATGAAAAATCTGAAGTAGGCTTCAGTTTCCTGTCTACAAAATGAGACAGGACAGGAGTGGGTAGGAAGAGGAGGAGCTGGGCTTTGTTGGTTTAAGCTGGGCCCCTCAGATTTTGTAAAGTGGACTTCACTGTCGGGTCCAGCCCACTCCCGGGCCGGAGCTTCGCGTGCTCTGAATGTCTTTTGGCCAAGTCCAAGGCCGTCGGGGAGGGGGCCGGGAAGGCGGGGTAGTAGGTAGTGGGTTGGGGAGAAGCAATTGCCACACATAACCTGCAGGTGGCACCAGAGCAGCGCAGGAGCCAAGGGTTCCGCTCCAGCCTTCCTGGAGACCCGGGCAGGGCGAGGTAGGGCGCGGCAGAGGTGGTGCACACCGCTTGGCTGGGCAGCGGCACCAGCGCGGCTGCGGATCAATCCACACCGTTTGAAATCGACACATAGGTCTTCTGGCTAATTTCCTCTCTTTAATAGCGTGATCATATGCTTTATCATCCAAATCCAGACACTTCAGAGAGGGAAAGGGGGCACCATAATTTAAATTGCACCGGGATAGCAGACATAACCTTAGCTGTACCTTGCAAACCAAACGAACATATGGTCACCCTACCCTCGGGTCACTTTTTCTTCCTTATTTCCATCTTTTATTTATTTTTTGTTTGTTTGTTTGTTTTTAAACCCACAGCATTCTCTTTCCCCGAGCACCATTGTCTTTGAAAATGCCCTTGCAATCAGGATATTTCCGACCATGCAACATAGGCTTTCGCATCCTGAGTCTGAAAGTTTCTCTGAACCCAACCCAAAGGCTGGTTTTAGCTTCCAGTCAGAAGACTCTGTTCCTGGCTTACCATCCCCATGACTCAGGAATTAAAGGTGTCAGACGGGGAACAGTGGGCCTTATCTCAACTTTGGTGCCTCTTTGCTAAATTTATTCCTGTTAATTTTTTTTTTTTTTTT